ATTTTAACAAAGGTCAGATTTTAAAAAGCTGAACCCAAAATACGCCCGTTTTTAAGGTTTGCTAAAAGAAGATGGCACATTTGAAAATCCATCCATCCATCCTCTTCTACTTATGTGTCAAGTTGCAGCATGCTAAACAGGCATCCAGACATCATTTTTCACAGCAAAATGGAAGCGATAAAGTGCTGTGAAAAGTATGCACCCCTTCCCTGCTTTCTTAGCTTTGTGCTTATGTCACACTTTCATGTTTCAGATTATCAAACAAGTTTCAAGACTGACATATTTACTGTGGTTATCTTTGTCTTATGTAGTCTTTAAATGATGATTTCATTTTGTAAGAAGCGTGTGAAAAACTAAACGCCCTCTAAACCCAACACTTGGTTGTGCCATTCTTGGCAGTAAGAACTGCAATCAGATATTTGCACTAGTTGCGATAGAGTAATATCCTGTTTGAGGTCACACTAAAGAATTCAGCTGGAGTTAAATTTAGGCAATGACTAGGCCGCTCCAAAACCTTCATTCATTTATTTATTTATTGAGTCATTCAGAGGTGGACCTGCTGGTGTGTTTCTGATGATTGTCCAGCCATCAGTTCATGTCCTGAAGCATAACAGTCTCCTTCAGGATTTTCTGGTAGAGAGCAGAATTAACGATTCCACCAATTACAACAATTGATCTATATCCTGAAGCAGCAAAGCACCTTCACACCATCACACTACCACCACCATGTTTGACTGTTGCTATAATCTTCTTTTTATGAATTGCTGAGTTACTTTTACGCCACATATAATGAGATTCAAACCTTCTAAAAGTTTCAGCTTTTGTTCCATCAGTCCGCAGAATATTTTCCCAAAAGTCTCATCTCACATTCCATCAAGCAAATGTGAGATGAGACTTTTCTCTTTGGAAAATACCTCAACAAAACAAAAAGTGCAAACTGTTGCTGACTAAAAAGAACACAAACTAAAGTTGAAGAGGCATGATAAATAACCAGAGAGATGCAACTCAAAACAAACTTGACTAGTTTAAAAGCAGCAAACATGATTAACTTTATGAGGTGTGCTAGCGCTTTATCAGTGCGTCAGCAGCAGTTGGTTAAATGTCGGGTGTAC